GAGGTGGTTGAGTCTCCATCCCTGGATGTGTTTAAGAATAGGGTGGATGATCTACTTAGCGATATGGTTTAATGGGGATTAGGGATGGTTGGACTCGATGATCTCTAAGGTCTTTTCCAACCTAGAAATCTATGAATCTATGAATCTAGTAACTCTCACAGGCTTTGAATGTGACCTCATCACGAGGGAAATAAGGAATTCGTATCACAGGGATACAAGAACCATTTCAGACAGGTATACCTTTGCTGGGAGGAAGGGGAAAGGGAGCAATTTCACTGTGCAGAGGGCCTTCGCTGAGCACCAGGTGCTGGCACTCGCAGTGCAGTGATGCTGACAAGCTATCACGAGCTATTTGTCACAGCGGGCAGCAGCACCGGTCTCTGGTTCACAGGCTTACACGGCCCACCATGCTCCACTGCACCTGCAGCAACACTCCCATCACAATTGGACTAGATGATCCTTTGAGGTCCCTTCCAATCCCTAACATTCCGTGATTCTGTGAACCCTGCAGCACCCTAGACGTGGGAACAGAGCCCAAGCAAGGTACACACTGACTGTGTGGTTTTGATGAAAAGTGTGGCTCACATGGGGAGGGATTGGGACTAGCGTGGCAGGGAGAAGGGCTTGCTAGGAGGGTAAGACTGGTGACAGCAGGGATTTTGAGTCGCAGCTCAAGCAATAAGGGAGAGCTATAGGAAGACAGTGGGAGAAAGGATGGATGCGTAGCACCAATGATATCTGAGGACACCAAAGCTTGGGAATTATTACTGTTACATAGCCTGGATGTTCCACCCAAGTATCCTGTGAAGTGGATCCTATTACCTTAGAGCAGACAACATCAGTCTCTCATCAAATTTTTCTAAGAAAGATGAGGAACCCAGTACTAAAACTCACTCTAGTTTGCTGACTTTCCTCTACAAAGCTCATCTACAAACTTATCCCTGACAGGTGGGCTGGAAAAATGCAGTTGCATTAAGACATTAGCAATAGGTTCAAAAGACTATAGCTCTAATTTATAGAGGTTTGGTTTTGTTTTCCAGTGGATTTGGTCTTTTTTGGGGGGTGGAGGAACAAAAACAACTTTCTATGCAAACATGCAAAATGAACACCTTCATGAATTTCACTCTGAGTTTGTGTTCTCTTCATGCAATTTCTCTTCTCTAGTTTATTTTTATTTCACCATTTTTAAAAGTTTTTTGAGAGCATAGGAAAATCCAAGCCAAGTCAAGACATTTTCTCCTTCCATTATAAACTTGGCATTCACAGGGGGAGAAAAAAAAACAGCAGCTGAATTCCAGTATATTTTATCAAAAATATTTCGCCTTAAAAATAAATGAGCCAAAAGAGAGGAACCACTAATGCCAGAAAAAACATTTTTTTTTATAATGCCAAGAACATACCCACAGCTTGTGAAGAAAATAAGACACAGTAAGTAGATATTACCAGTTAAATATTATTATGAAGGCTTTGTAAAATTAACGGCTCTCCTTGCTCAAATATTGACAGAAAAATTCATACTACAGAGTCCTTTGTCTGCCTAAGTTGCACAGCCTGCAGAGATGATTACAGTCAATGCAAAGCAGCACATTTCTGTTTTGGTCTAAAAGTTCTGCAATTTTGTACAGTTAAAAAAGCCATACTATTCAGAAATAGAAGGAGGATTTTCATTAATGCCTCACATGATCATTTAGTTGTGAACTATTATCTGACAAGTAGAGATTAGAACTTTTAGAAGGCAATTTTCTGATTTGATGCAGATCAGTAAAAATTCTCTTAGATACTGGATTTATTCTTAATTTTACTGGAGTTATTACATTATTGCCAATGTAATCAGCTATATATCTTATAATTACAGCCTCATGTACCCTCTGAAGTGATGTCAGCGACCTTAGCCTTTCCCAACCTACCAATATAATTTCCATATAGCCTGGACTGAACTTCAGCCAGCTTGCTCTGACCTCTCTCCTCATCTCCCACCAGAAGACAGACTTCCTTAAATTTCTATGTGCTACAGATAACATTGTGGGTGGACACCAAACTGAAAGCACTACCAGGCAAATCTAACTACTGCTAAGGAACGGTCTTGTACACACACATCTAAACAAGGAATAACATCAAAAGAATGACATGGAAGAGATTCCTGAGACAGGAAAAAAATCAAAACGTTTTTGCAGATCACCTCTGTGGTTTTGCTTATTTTTGTTTAAAACATTAATGTTAGTCCTAGATGAAGAAAATACTAAATTATCCTCAGAATCTAGCACAACCCAAGCTAGCCAAACCTTGTTGCATCAACAGTGACCAGAGTCTTATCACCAAGAAATCAATAACCAATGACACACACAGGGTGTCATACATATTATATATGTATTTGAAATCTTGTTTCAAAATAGCTAAGTCAATCTGGGGCTTAAAGTATTTTTACAATATTTCCATAATAAAATAAGAAAGATAGACACTAGTAGATAACAGGAGAGGTTGTTGTATCAAGGGTTTTCAGCAGACATCAACTAAATGTTTACATAAGAGAGAGTGGCACAGCAACAGCTTAAGAAAAACCACCAAAATAAACCAAATCTTCCACCAAACAGCTACTGGATATTTCTCCACTAGATCTTTCATCAGTCATGGATGGTACCTTAAGTAATAAAGTACCTTAATTTCTGCAACATTCTCCATATGAACCATAGGGAAAACGACACTGGACAAACTCAAGAGTTAATACCAAACATCTGATCACTACTAATAACACCCAGATTTCACCAGTATGATTTATTTGTCCAAATCTAGTTGGCTGTAGCCTGCGTACCATTGAGAAGTTTCTTTAAAATGGAAGTATTCAAAACAAACTGTACAATAAGTATAGCCCAGCTTCGCTAAGCTATCTAATTTAAAATTAGGCCAGCTGAGTGAATATTTACGAACGCTATGTAGAAAACAAAACATACATATTTTTACCTCCTACACTGGCACAAGAATTCAAATTTCAGTGTAGATGATGAAAGCGTTCCATCTGACTCGAAAGGCAAAACCTCACCCACTCACAGAAGGGCAAACACAGTAGGTGGGGCGACCCTACACAGCCCATCACAGCCAAATCAGCACCTTCAATCACAGCAGAGAACTTCAGTTTCACTTCTGTTTCTATGTGAAAGCAGCCGTCTCTCTCCGAGCTTCACACTCAAAAAGCTTCTATCGAGAAAACGACTGTCAGACACCCAGTGCTCACCTAACTTCTGAACTAAAGCAGCGGCTCATTGCAGAAACAGGCCGTGTAGTGAAGAACATTGCTTCTTTCTCACTTCACAACCTCCTCAGGAGATAAGAGGACAAAAAAGACTTTACAATAAGTCAAGAATTATATGAATTCATGGAGAGGAACACCAGTTAGCAAGGATATGTTACTACATATTATAACACTCAGCGCTTTCTCCCATATCTTCCCTGAAAGGATTACTGACTAATCTTGACTTTGCGCTCTCCTCAAATCCAGCAAAATCACAAACAAAACAGACACCTTAATTCTCCCTTCTTAAGGAAGAAATTTTGTACAGTGAGGGTGGTGAGACACCAGGTTGCCCAGGGAAGTTGTGAATGCCCCATCTTTGGAAGTGTTCAAGGTCAGGTTTAGCAAACTGATCTAGTGGAAGATGTCTCTGCCCATGGCAGGAGAGCTGGACTAGGTAATCTTTAAAGGTCCCTTCCGACCCAAACCACTCTGTGATTCTATGAATATAGATTCAGGAAATCTCAAATAAAGCATCTGAAGAGAAAAACATTCTTCTCTAAGTCTGTCCCAAGCTCAAACCAAACACATGTTCCCCTCTCTTAGGATGGGCTTTTTGTTCATATTTCCTACAGTTCTACACGAGGCTTTGTTTGTTTTAAAGAATGCTAACTGGAACTGAATTCCCCCTTCCAGTGTTCCCATTTCACACAAACGATGCCACTGCAAAGAAGGGCTGTCAGTTTTCATTGACCAGTGAAGACCTTGAGTCTGGAAACAGGTCTTCATGACAGCACTCACCTGCAATCAGGTGGGATCAGTGGTGGTGGGAGGTCAACTTAAATATTCACTATCAAAACATTCATATACAACCATCAGATTTTTTCCCCTGTTGCAGTGGGCAGCGTCAGTACTTTCACTAGAACGCGATTTCACTGGGAATTTGCAAGCTATAATTACCAACTTTCCGCAGCTCAAAAGAAGTATCAAAGGAATGTCCAGCTGCCAGGAGGAGTACTGCATAATTAATTCCTGACTGTAACGTTGGCTCTGACTCAAACGCCTTCTTGAACCTAGAAAAAACAAACATACAAGTTTACTTTCCAAATAATGCGATCTAATAGGGACATAATTATACTTGTAGGTACTTTAAGTGCTTATCTTCTGTTTACACAGCAAGAATCCATGGAAGCAAAAATATTTCACTGTTTTCCACACATGCTTTGTGGTTATTTTTAGGAGTTTGTTATTTATACATCCTCTCCCATTTCCTTTCCCCTTACACAGTAAGCACAGACCCTACTCATCCATCCCAGCAAAGTTGTAGTTTCTTAACAGATTTGCAATTTTGCACTGATATCAAAGAAAAAAAAATAATCCTATCATCTTGTAAGAGACTTGTTTCACAGCTATGTTTATTAATGGACTCTTTAATTTACTCTTAAATATACGAATTTTCACTGACTTGAAACCTTAGATTCGATTGCAGATGTGCTACAGTGACATACAAGTGTACTGAAATGCATAAGCACAAAAACAAGCAAGACAAGAACATATTTAGCTATGACTTCACCTCCAAATTTTTTTATTTGCTGAGTGTCTCATTGTCATTGTCCTTATGAGACTATTCACATTTTAAAAGTACTATACTGGGGACCTACAGGAAAGCTGGAGAGGGACTTTTTACAAGACTGTGTAGTGATAGGACAAGGGGCGATGGATTTAAACTGAAAGAGGGCAGATTTAGGTTAGATATAAGGAAGAAATTCTTTACATTGAGGGTGGTGAGGTACTGGAACAGGTTGCCCAGAGAAGTTGTGGCTGCCCCATCCCTGGAGGTGTTCAAGGCCAGGTTGGATGAGGCTTTGGGCAACCTGGTGTAGTGGAGGATTTCCCTGCCCATGGCAGGGGGATTGGAACTAGATGATCTTTGAGGTCCCTTCCAACCCTAACCATTCTATGATGCTATGTTGATTCTCCTCAAGAGAAAGTGAGCAAGAACAGCAGTGGCATTCACCTAGCCCAAATATTGTCTTAAAAGGCGGCCAGGGGCTTCACACAAACACAGCACACGTCACCCTCATGCTGGCAATGCAAGTTGCGGTGACAACAGTGACAGCAAATCTACAGTGCTTTAAACTTGTTCTGGAGAGTAAGAACATGTGTGGTTGCATAAATACATACGTATATATCTATAAGTGTATATGCATATACACACACACACTTCTCTGTAAGGAGAAGGCAAGGGGGGTTGGAACTAGATGATCTTTAAGGTCCCTTCCAACCCAAACCATTCTATGATTCTAAGACTACCATATGTGAGTTAAGGAGCACAGGAGATTCAGTCCACACATCTCTGCTACAGTAAAAGCAATGGAGTTTAAAATTACTTTCAAAAGGCTGGGAAAAACCCAGGCAAACAAATGGATTATACACAAAAAAGTGAAGCATGTTGCGAGACGAATATATAAGGAAGGAAAGAAAAACAATCTATGCAAAAAAGTAAGGATTTATCTTCCAGACCACGCTTTGACATGTAAGTAGAGCCAAGACATTTTGATCCTAGCAGGGCAAAAATATGGCTACTTTTTCTTTTTCTTTTTCTGTTTGTTATTTTTTCCTGCTCTAATGATTCAAGACTTTGAATCCTTTAACATAAGCTCTGCTTTCTGAAATTGCAAGACAGGCTCCTCTTCAATCTGCCACATATGTACTCTTGCTACACTCCAGTTTCCCACCTCCAAAGAATTTTAACCATTAGCCAGCCCTCTGAAATAACAAAAGGCATGATGAGCAGAGACTATTTCTTATCTTTCATCATCTGCCTTTCCTCTTGTACTGTGAGTTACAAAAAAACAAGGAAGTACAAACAAAACATTTTTGCTCACTAAAATAACCACTCCACAAACCCACTCCCAATCCCATAAAAGCCTGCCAATCAAACTGGACAACACTCATTGATTCTAAGCACATACAGCTAAAAGAGACCCATTGGCTGGTTTAATCTGTTTGGAGACACAGCAGCTTTGGGAATCGGATTCTCTTTTCTGCCCTAGAGATCCTTCATGCTACAATCCTCATGCAGTATCAGGAAAAGGAGAGAAGAAAGACTGACAGAATAATTGAGAGAAAAGAAGAAAAAAATCTCAACAGCAAGTATTTTTGTTCCAGTTCAAAAGACTCTGTACTTTCACTTTGTTTTGCTCCAGAATATCTAATTTCTGGCATAACTTCTCAAATTTCTCTAGTTCTTGGACAGATACATACCAAACTTCAAAATTTAAAGATAAAATAAGCATTTCTCATGGATATCAACAGGTGGGCACATTTGTGCTGTGAACAATGCTAATCATACAGGCAAAGGAGGCGGAGATGAGCTTAAGTTTACAAAATAGCTCCTGCTTGCAGGAGCAATTGGCAAAACAGCCCTAAAAAACAAAAAAAAACCCCACCTTCTTAACTATTTTATCACTGAGGCACCACCAGCACTGCTGACGGGCTCAATTCTGGCCAGTGATGAGTCCATTGGAGCTGGCTGGAACTGGTTGTGTCCAACATAGGGCAGTGCCAGGTCTCTCCTCACAAAGGACACCTCTGCAGTCCCCCGCTGCCAAGACCTTGCCACCTGTGCCCAGTAGACCAGATAGGGCATTCCGGGAATTTCTGTTCCTGGGTTGTGCCTTTTCTTTCCAAGCCGCTTCCAAATCTCTCATCCCCACAGCAGAAATTCATTTTTCTAGTCATCTTTACATGCTATTCACCCCAAGAAACACTAGTATCTTGGACGTCTGTAGTCCTATTTACCTCTCCTAAATTGTTACAACCAAAAGTGTAATTTTATATTTGGTGCAATCCTGTGCTGACATTCTTAAGTCTGCCTTATATCCACATAGCCTGGACAGCAAAAATTTAGATGAAAAAGAAAAACAAAAAATTAACATGTAATAGTAATTCTGAACAAAGTTATTCATGGTTTCCCAAACAACTCAAAAGTCGCATCTGTTGACTGAACTGATTTAAATCCGACTGGTGCAGTTTCTTTACGTTGCCATGCCCCAAATACCACTGGAGAAACCCGTGCAGTATCGTAGAAAGGCAGTAAGGTTTAAAAGTCTGCCTACAAAGTAGAGGCTGGCTTAGCTGATAGGATTTACGATCAAGAAATTGAAAGCTGACATTTAGGAAAATGCTGCAGTCCAGACATGGAATTAGGGAGGTAGCAGTGAAAAGATTTGAAAAAAAAGAATTGATAGCTTTGGTATCAATTTGCTAAGTCTGATTTACACTGTCAGCATGCAACAAGAAACTGGCAGTTAATAATTAATTTTTCCTCTCTTATCTCATATTTATAAGAAAGATGTCTTCTACTCTGTTTTTTAGTTTTCCAGAAAGCACACTGCCTGCCTAGTTGTTGGCAGGCATTTGTGGTTTGGTTTTTTCCTCTCTTTTTTTTTTTTTTAATAGCCCAAACTACCTTGACATCACTAGCTGTTGCAAAACCAATGCTTTGGCTCTGCTGCCAAATTCTTATTATCTTATGCAATTCACCATGCTTCTCCTATATCCTGACTTCTCCAAGACTGATATAAGCACCTTTATCTCAACAGAAAGTAACCCTATCAAGGGGACATTGTTCCTGCACACACCTTCCCTCACTGTGGCCTGCTGTAGCACCAGAGTAGGTCTGCTCCTTCCCAAGAACCCTTCACTGACTTATGAGTCAACCCTTCAACCACGTCAAGCCTGCTGTATGACTAACACTAGAATTCAAATCAGTATCCAGCATAAAGTACAAACCAAAAGCAACTGGCCCATCCGGTACAGCTTCCAGCCAAGCTCCAGCTCGACTCAGAGATCACCTCGTTCTACAGCAGCAGGTGCACGGAGAAGTCTGTGTGGGGCCTCACTTGCCAGAGACATCAGGGATTGTTTAGGAGCCGGCCGGTCAGCATCCTACCCTGCTGCCAGGAGCTGTCAGCCTGATGTCCTTTCCCTGGCTGGTATGCCTGACTGCAATCACTTTCCCTCATCAAACGTATGAACATCATGACTGCTAAGATGCATCTATTAAAAGTGTGTTAAAATGGCTACATGAAATATCCTAGAAATAATTATCTCAATTGAACTAAGAACAATTATAATAATGTTGAAAATCTCAGAGTTTATCTGTTCATAAGGCACTATGAATGAAGAAAAAGCAAGATGTACAACAGCAGAAGTAATTTCTGTTTAGCCTGTGGTAATGCCTAGTATTTGTATACAGGACTACGGTTTTCTTTTTATATTAGTTCATGACACTAGCAAAATATTTTTTAAAAAACAGGATCTTGAACATTTGTTATGGGTTTTGCCTTAGAGGAAATACAGTTTTTCTTCAATCCAAAAATCATGAAGGGGAGGATGATGACAGTAAAGATGTCCAAATAATAGGAACGCAGCATAAAAATATCCAGTAAGCATTGCAGAACTGCAAAGCATGACCAGCAATTATAAACTGTACTTGTATTCTGAGGCCATAAATGGTAAACAACCATATCTTATCTTTTACCAAAGACAGTTCTAATCTGAAGTTTACTGAAAACAAGTGAAAAATGAAGAAGGGAGAAGAAAGCTTTCCATTCTAAGCAATTACTTCCAACAGGCAGCTGATGAGCACAAGACCAGAACTAGCATCTGATCTGCAGGATACATAAACATAGATTATCCATATCCTCATTGAAATTATAATGGAGAAAAGCAACTCATCCTGACAGAAGTCTAGGATGGGATTAGTGCCTCCATTTCAAGTACATCACTTTTGAGAATTAAAAGCCTGATAGATAAGAGATAAAAACTATTTTTTTTAACCTATTCCACTTAGCAGCGTTTTAGTGCATTTCAAAAGCAACAAAAAACATGATACTTGCCTCTAAAATTAAGATAAGAATTTGTCTAGTCTATTATGTGCTTCTTTGACAATTTACAACGTTGTAATCCACTGTAATATGCATATATTATATGGTGACGATGGGATGACAAAACCTTTGCCAGCATGAGCTTGGAACAGTTATTTTTCTTGTGAGCATGGAAGTCAAAACCAGACAGAATGGTACATTCCTAAGCATCAGTGCAGAGTTAAACCTCAGCACCTTTAAGCCCAGCTAATGTCTATCAGATTACAGACATGCCAACTGATTCACAGCGGATTACTGTCTGGCCCAGATTCCTAAGAATGATACAGTCAACAAGAGACCTCACATTTGGGAGAAAGGAGGAAAACACACACTGAAAGCTACCTAAAACTTCCAAGTCTCTGTGGCACTTCAGGAACCTCACAGAACCAGATCTGAACAATGTAAATGTCTCATTCTTAACAAATAAGCAAAGAAGATTAGAAGATTCAGTGTATCCCTTAAGGATGCCAAATATTTGGAATGAAAAACAGTTGAAATATTCCTTACACAAGAATATGTTTTCCTGAAGCTAACAAAAGGCCATAGACCAGAAAAACAGTACTCACCAGAACGTTCCTTTGTCCCTGCTTTCTGTATCTATGAACCCAGATTCCAAAAACATGTCCTTGTAAATTCGACCAACCAGGCAATACATATCTGAAGCTACTTGGTCTTCCTGTTCTACCAGAGGAATCATAATTTCTAGAGCTTTTTGTCTGTCTCCAGGAAGATTTCGTCTATTAAAAAATAAAAATAACCATGACCACGTTTGAACATATATGCATGACTTCATCCATGTAAAATGTGCTTCTAGACACAATGGATTATATTATATATACACATTTTCCCTCCCCTTCTTTCTTTTTTGTTTTCCTTAATATCATAGCACACCTTTATGAAAGCTCCCAAACATGTTTTCTCTCATGAAGCATCAGCTAGAGCAAAGCACTGACAACAGCAACAAGAGCCTCAAGAAGAATTCTTAGAAAGATCATGTGTTACTTTCTTACCAAACAGAAAGATATGAACCTAAGTTTCCTATCTAATATTTCTTTCAGAGTAATTCATGCTTTAAAGAAAAAAAAAAAAATCCATCTTGTGTTTGTGATTTTTTTTATATATATATACATTTTGAATGTGAAGCTAAAAAAAAAAAGCACAAACCGGACTGAATTCCCATGATAGGGAAGGTTAGCAAGTGAAGCCAATAAGGTAATATTAACAAATATTCCAGACAAATAAATCACATAATTGCAAGCTTTAGACACTTCCTGATGACTCAGAGTTTGGATATGTATATCATTCACTATCAAGAATTTAGAATTTTTTACATATTTGTGTACTGAACAAGTAGATGACTTCTTTCTCAGCAAAAACTACTCTTTGGTGGTTTGGGGAGAGTATTATATCCTTTTGGAGAAATTGCATGTAATATTTGAGTGGTTATAACTTGAATTCAGGGAATATATTAAAGTGGTTTTTAATCTGTCTTGCAAGCTTTGTGTTGAAGAAGCTTGCAAGAGAAGGCTACCTCAGAAAGAAAAAAAAAAAACAAAACAAGTGATAGATTTTTTTCTTCTCTTTACAAGAACATATCAAAGTTTTGATACATCTGCAAAGGCAGTGTCAATGTCAAACCTGAGAGATCAGAGCCTGTATACTCTAAGTGACACCTGAGCTTGTGAGCTCTGAGCTCATGTATGCAGCTCCAGAAGGAAGTGACGTGGAGGAAAAGGTTTAAATCAAGCAGAATGGGTAATAGAGGAAGAACAGGTTACTTGCATCATCACAAAAATAATAAAGAAAACAGAGCAAAAGCACTTGTTTAATCAGACGGTATAAACTGCTTTTCTGAGAAAAAAAAAAAATAGTGTGCAAGTCTACATGCTGGGCCAACCTCTATTGATGTCTCAGCCTGGTAAGACAAAGGAAACCCAGTGCCTCCTCTTCCCAGCCTCACACACTCTCTTGATTTAGGCCAGACTAATCCTGACTAATTGAGCTGCTCCATCCTTCCATACTAGTGATCTGGATTAGAAGTAAGAGAGACATCTTCTTCCACAGCAAACATTCAGATATGCAGAGTATTCTAGACTTGTCTTAGCTCAGAAAACACCCTCTATATTCCCAAAAGGTGAAAGCTACAATTAGCCCAAGTAACACCTTTTGGCATACACCAAAGCATGAACGTTGTCATGGCTGTCGTGGATTCCAGTTGAATTTACAACCTGGAGAAGGGAGGGAGAGGAAAATCTGAACTCCTTTGGAGGTACTTCGCAGACTTTTTGTATGCCAGATATCCTCAAAGGCTACATCTTACAGTCATATCCACGAAACCAGACCTTTCGGTCTGCAAGAAGTCCCAACAGAACCAACAGAGTGTAAAAATCTGCCTGAAAAGTTTATACTGCAGTTTTACAGTTCTTTTAGTGCCCCAGTGAACTAGTCAAGTCCTGTTTTCAAAGGTGACTTTATTTTCGAAAATGGTGACCTTGAGATATAAATAACTTGTTAGGACTCCAAGGTACACCTAGTGACTTTTGTGAAGACTACGTAGAAGTGGCAGATATGTGATGGATTATTTCCTTTGCAAAGCTACACATATGGCAAAGCAGGAACAAAAAGGGCACTGTGTTTCTACCTTTATATACCTGGTATAAAAGAGCAACAAAGGACTCAGATGTTTTATGGAGATAAGACAATGGCAGATAGGTTTTTTGATTTTTTTGTTTGTTTTAACAGGAAGTTTATTTTTTCAACTAATTACTTGCGACATATTTTTGATACCACTTCAACAGGCTATGCAGTTTTGAGCCTCCTCAGTGAACCTGAATTACAATATTCAAATCTTTGAGAGAAGCAGAAAGATCTGTAGACACTTTCTGCATCTGAAAATTCCAATGCCTTCTGACACCTAATCTACACTTCTAAACGTCAATAGCAAAACATACATTGTGATAACAGCAAGGGAGCAGAAAACCTCTGTAATTTCCTCTGAAAAACTCCTCTTTTAATGCCTTGCCCAATCTAGTATCCTAGGAAAAAACAACCCTGGGCTTGGCTCTCATTTAACACAACAAATGGGTTACATGTTGCTGCATGCGGCACATTTTGTGCATATTACCAGAGAACGTGAAAATTTGTTTATTACTATAATGAAATCTTCTGACTGACATTTGATGGAATTTCTCCTTCTGTTTCCATAACACTAGCAGGACTCAAACTTGAATGAGGATGTCTAAGTTAGCACAAATGCCGCAGCAAATTTAGCACAAATGCCCAAACAGCAACGTTACAATCGTTATTTTATAAAGGCAAAATACTGCTGGGTACTTATTTGCTCCCATTTCGGTACTGATAGGAAAAACAGTGCAAACCTATGGAAAGACAAATCAAATACTCATGCTTAAAGGAAGAGGAATGGAATTTGGCAGTGTGAAAGTTAAAGAAAGCTTAAGACTGACCATGAAGATCGGAGTCCCCAAAGTTGCTTCAGTAGAAACCCTAGGCATGCATATGAAGTATCCAGGAGGGAGCTTCACCCAGGACCACCAACCCTGTGAGAATTTTGCAGTTCTGATTTACGGTTCAAAGCAGAAGGAAGAGGAGATTCTTACCTGTTCAGTGCAAACGCGTAATGAAACCTCACATGGTGGTGGGAAGCCAAGTCAAAAGTAGGCAGTTTTTCTAAAGTTTTCACCAGTTTCACAATGGAATCATAATCCTTCGAAAAGAAAGGAATAATGAAGTTTTGGGTGGCTGTACTGAGCTATGCATACAAAAACTTCTCTTTGAACTAGTCACTTGGTATTTCATATAAAGTTTTTTCAGTTCATTGTAAGTTTTATGGATTTCAATTTCTTCAAACAGTAAATGGCCTGGCACTCATCAGAAGTGTGAATATGCATGGTATTTAGCACAGAAATACAACTGGGTCTCCTGTACTGCTCGAATGTGGATCTGTGGAAATTTTAGTACATCTATTTCATGACTAAGAGTTAGCTTCAGAGGCTGAACACATATCAGTGTTCGTTTTGGACAGACATTACAATGCTAACCGCATCTGAATTAAGGCATCCCAAAACTCTGAAGCAGGCATGAGCCACAAAAACAAAATAAAAGAATCTTTTAATACTACAGTTTTTAAGGTGGTATTAGCCAGCTTACTGGCTGACATATTAAAAAAAAAACAACAAACAAACAAACACAAAAAAAAAAACACAAATAAAACCAAAATCAAAACACTTGTTTTGGAGCAACAGTTTAAGGAACAACAGTTGAAATTACGTAGAACAAAGCAAGGAATTACTAGCAGCATTCCAGAAGCCAAAATTAGTATGAACCTGTTGTTTCCATGAGAAATGTCACAAGTATGGTGACAAAGAATACAAATATATATCAATAGCAGAACGCTACCATAGCCTTTAAGTAGGACACACTTTGGGCTGTTCATCACATAGTAATGCTGAGATGAAGAATTATTATACGTTGTGTAATTTTTAGGTGCTGTTATAAAAGAACGACACTTTTCTGTCATGTAAAGGCACACTGTAAACTGTGTAACTATAAAATAAGGTAAAATGCACCAGTGAAGACACTATAAAAGATTTTCACTAGTGTGCATTATTGACACGGTTTATTGGCAAATCTTTGCAAAATACACTAAAAATTTCACTGAGAACATAATTTAATTTACTATGTTTTAGATGATCTTAGAGTATAGGATTCATACCTGGATGTCTCTGTAGGACAGCAGCAAGTTTATTACAATGTCAGCAGACAAGACTTCAACATTATCCACTCGCTGTCGAATCCGTGCCAGCTCTGCTGCAAGCTCTTTGCCCGTGTAGAGGGTACGGGCCTTCCTGATGTCATTCAGAATGGATTCTCGGAAATACTGGCTGGAGAGAAACAACTTCGCATCAGCAATTTGGGACAGGTCCCTTGCCTTTGTTTTTCTGGCCCTGCAGCTCTCCCACAATGCATATGTGGAACATTTATTGATAGAGCAGTGTCAACGGAGAGATTTGGCCAAGCTAAATTATTAATTTGTTTTAACAGAAGGTAAAACATCGCATCGCCCCAGAGCAAGAGTCTGACATTCACACTGCCAGCAGGAACACCCGAATTTGACACAGCGGCACAAAAAGACAACTCACCTTGAACTGGCCTGTGCCACCTTCAAGAGCTGAATAAATCGATCCACCAGAGGTAAGCATATAGGTCCCAGCAGCGACTCAAAACTGGGCTGCATCAGCTCTGTGAGCCCCTTCATAAAACTGCTATCGCAGCAGTATACCTTGTTATGTGGAGTTATCATATAAGGAACAA